GCTAAAATATACCTTTGTATGATACTCCGTACAATTGATCTCCAATCTCCACTAGCCCTTTCAAATGAGAATCATACATCTGTCCATCCTGTATTCCTATGGGAGTACGGGCTACGTATACATATAATATGATCAAAGGGTATTTGCAAGTTCCCGGAAGAAGGTAGCTGGAAGTCGACAATGCATGTTAACGTTATATATCTTAAATAAATGGAAATTAAGCTCGTGAAGCGCAAGCCCTCATGAAAGAGATTATAAATATTATCTCGCCAGAGGAAGACGACAAGGAAAGACAGTTTAGGGTTTCTGATCCGGGCAAAGCTTGAGGGTAACATGGCATTAATAAATTAAAAAATGTATATTAATTACGTCCATATCCAAAGTACTCTACACATCTTTGATACACATCCCTTCTTTTGCGCATCAAAACTAGAGGATTACCATGATAACCATTTTAAATAACCATTTTAAATGATAGCATTAAAGTAATAGTATTTGGTTAATTTGATAATTGGTTTGATTATGTTAAATTTTTTTAATTTGTTTGGTTTAGATAGTTTGTTTTTATATATACACTCCAAATCAATTAACTAACTAGCCATAAATATATGTACTTTGATATATTTCGGTAAATCAGAATCATCGGTTTTTATGTAATGCTGATTGTGGTGATGAACCATGTACTTACAAATATTTTGTTTAAATGCAACTTATAAGCTAATAATCTAACGAATATGATTAATAGAAAATAATGCATATGATTATTAATACAATCTTTATTTTTTTATAAATTATTTTATACTACTTAACAAATGTATTTCAACAATTTCAATAAAATAAATTCGATTCGAAATTTGGGAAAACAAATATAGCTTCATGAGCTAATTAAACAAGTAAATTGAATATATGAAGTATTCCCTTTTCTATCATCTTAAATATAACCATCTTATACTCTATCAAGATCCATACTTGGATGACAGTCCATTGGATTTGAAGATAGATAACATGTCTATCATCTCTCTATCCATCAATCACTACAACAGAAAGATGTTTTAGCGACGGTCATAGGGACTTTTAGCGACGGTCACAACCGTCGCTAAAACATTTAATGACGGACAGCAAACCATCGCTGATCCTGCTGTCCTTAAATTTTTTAGGTCGCTTTGACCGTCGATAAAATTTAGCGACGGCACCACCGAAGCTATCCTCCAGGAAAATGTCGTAAGATAAATATTTCAAAGAATAATTAAATTTTATAGTGACGGGCTTTGACCGTCGCTAATAGCGACCGACTGTCGCCAAAAACGCTATTATTTTAAAGAGCCGCCTGCTCTAGAAATCACAGCCTGCTGTGATTTTCTGAAACAACAAATCAACAATATACATTTGATGATCAAAATCCAACTTGAATGACCATATCAGAAATATAACTACTTTGTATTATACAATATCAGAATATAAACCATCAATCCTTTAATTTTAGAACAACCAAATCCAGCCAAACCACTTACAAAAGCTCAAAACATACAATCTAAAGTTTCGAAACTCCCACTTACAGTCTCTCTTAGCTGCTTATACCACCAAATGCATGTTGATCCGACTCCAGATGAAGCTAAACGACGTGGGTAATTCCACCAGTTATCCATAAAGCCTTGTATGTCTGCATAAAAAAGAAGAAACAGATTGATCCCATGATTAGTAATGGATCCTGCAAGACGACTGGGAAATGATTTTTTGATCAATTAATCTGATGCAATGAGGAAATTAAAGTAACAGTTTGCCAACAAAAGAGCTTTAAGAAACCTCACTAGTGTATGATGAGAATTTTCATAGTACCATCCATTGATAAAGCCAGCAAATAAGCCATCAGCTGACATTACAAAAACAAACATCACCTGCTTCCCAATCAATCCCAATGGCAGAAAACGTAGCTTCATGTTCATTACATCAAACTGTGAAAAAGATGGGGAAATAATAGCATGCTACGATAGTGTAGTATTAATTCTAGGCATGGACCAGATGGTAGCAACGAGATAACTTAACCACAAAAGACATTCTGCAAAGTGCATCAAGTAGTACCTTTTAACGAGTGCTACATCTATTGTCTCGAATTGCTAGTTGAAATTTCAAAAGAGGGCAGAATGTTGAGCAGTGGAGTCAAGAGGACACTGCAAGTTAAAAAAACACAGGTTAAAAGTCATAAACTTCAAATCCCCTCTTAAGGTTCTTACATTCAAAATAACAACTTACTTGTTCTACTAGCATACAAAAAGCTAACATATACATCCCAAATATGGAAACTAAGATAGCCTCTTAATATTAATATCTCCCTCTTATCCAGATGACAAAAAGCTGCACTATCTGAGAAGAGAACCGCTCCCTTATTCGATCCAGTTTTGGATCTATAGAATGAAGGACTACGATCGACGCCATTGGAATTGATTGATTCTCCAACGAACATTCGACAAGTTCGAATGGATAGACAGAGTAAGGAAAGTAAGAGAGATATACTTAAAGAAATTAGAGTTCAGAGAAAGAAGGCTTCGGTAATTGAGATAAAAGTGACAAATAATTAATTTTGAAAGAAATTAAATTATTAATATATAAAATAGAGAACCAAGAAAAAGGGATGCTTTCCGTAAAAAACCATAATAGCTAGAAAGAGAAAGGATTGGCAAATTATTTGAGAACGCCCGAAGTCCAAGTCCCCTTCGTGACGGTCATGTCGACGGCCTTTTTCTCCGTCAAAGTTCAACACTTAATGACGGCCGCAACCGACCGGTGTTAGGTAACCGTTATTATTATTACTTTTTCTTGTAGTGAATTGAGATTTAATATTAGAAGACAGAAGTTACCAAGATTCTAACATATGATTTTCAATTAGAACTAGTAATTGATCTCAATATCTCAAATTGATTAAAGAGATCCATGATTGAATCTTATATTATCAAGTAATCATCGATCTCAACAATTCAAATTACGAAATGAATTAATTCTCATATTCTCGACATTGAACCAGAGGTTTTGCATTCAAACCCTGCAATATTAATTTTATTCAAGCACAAACAGTACTTGTGGGGTTATGCAAACTTGCAAAAACATAAAACTTGTGGATTTTCGTGTGATTCACCCTTTGACGCTCAAGTTAGTACAAAATTTTGAAAAAAAGTTGGTGTAAAGTGGCAATAATGTGTAAATGTCTGATATGACTGGCTTACTTGTATAGTTACTAGTTAGGGCTTGTGAGTTTAAGTGCAAACATAGAAAAGACATTCATATTTACGAAACTCATACAACTCAAATCGTCTGTATAGAAAGACCTACTTGTTGTATTGTTGTCTATACTGAAACTATTAGATCAGTAGCCCTCATTCTATGAAAGTAGTCTATGAAAAAAAGCATCGAAGTTAGGAGGATGTGCAATACATAGAGAGAAAGAGTTGTATATACCTCTCAACATAAGTAGAGAGGGGGGAAAATGTAAAACTCATCACTTACCGTATATGAAAAAAATGCACGAAAGTTAGGAGAGAACTAGGGCTGTCAATTCGGTTTCCGGTTAGTGGTTAACCGGTCGGTTTAACTGTTAACCGCCGGTTTTCGGCTAACCGGAAACCAAAATTAATATGCAGCGGTCGGTTAGCGGATGCATAATAGGGTTTGGCGGTTAGCCGATTAACCGAGGCCGGTTAACCGGCTAACCGGCGCTAACCGATCGACGATACGACGTCGTTTTGGGCTAAGCGGAAACGACCCTTCCCCCAACCCTAGACCCTCTTCGCTTCGCAGTCCATCTGCTGATTCCTCCCTAACCCTGTTCGCTTTGTCACAGCCGCCACTCTCCCCCCACAGCAGTCACAGCCGGCGACCCCCTCCTTCTCCCTCACGACCGCCGGTCGCCTTTTCCCTCCGACCCCCTCCTTCTCCCTCACGAGTCACGACCGCCGAATCCGATTGCCTTTTCCCTCCGACCCCCACTCTTATTCGGTCGACCCTCGACTCGACAGTCCCAGGCTCCCGCCTCCCAGCCCTCCGACCCCCTCCTTCTCCCTCACGGCCGCCGCCTTCCTTCTCCCTCACGAGTCACGACCGCCGCCTCCACCTCGACGTCGCCCCACCTCCCTCCTTCTCGTCGCCTCGCCGCCCTCCAGAAGGAAGCAGCAGCTCGTCGTCAATTTTGAAGCAGCTCGTCGCCCTTTCCCCATTTAAAAAGGGCCTGCAAATTATGTATGTCGAATTGGTGATGATTTTGGTGGATTGGTGATGATTGTCGAACGATTTTGGAGGATTGGAATGGTGGTTTTGGTGGATTTATGTCGATTGTTGAATGATTTGGTGGATTGGTTTTCGGTCTTGGCGGCCGGTTTTCAGTCTTGGCGGCCGTCCATCTCTTTTTCGGTGGCGCCGGTTTAACCGCGCCATAACCGAAACCGCCAGGTAGGTTTTACAGATAACCGAGGCGCCAGGGTCGGTGGGTGGGTGGTGGGCACTGGTCAGGTCTCGGTTTAACCGAAAACCGAAAATTCAATTTTCGGTTAAATTGAAACCGACCGGTTGACAGCCCTAGAGAGAACTGTCCTATCTATCATATAATATCATCAAAGCGTGTTTGCAAGTTGCCAGGGGAAGGTAGCTAGAAGTCGACAAATGTATGCTATATATCTTAAATAAATAGAAATTAAACTCGTGAAGCACAAGCCCTCGCGAAAGGGATTATAAATATCATCTCACCAGAGGAAGACGACAAGAAAAATACAGTTTAATTAGGGTTTTCTGATCCGGGCAAAGCGTGTGGGCAACATCACTAACATGGCATTAATCACTAAACCCTAATTTCTATGCATGGATGGGTCTACTGTGAAGAAGAAGAGACAGCTGAACCAAATCCCAAAGTACTCAACACATGCATGATAAACATACACATCCCTAGCTTCCAGGCAAGTTCGCCCTTCAAAACAATCACCCAGCTCTCTATAAATACCCTCCATGGGCGTCTCCCAAATCCACACCAATATCCCTATCTTAATACCTCGATCTCAAAACCCTAGCTACTTCCATTTCCCCCGTTCGTCTCAACAAGTGATCGATCATGGCTTCTTCTTCTTCTTCTTCCAAAGCAGCCCTTGCTCTCTTCCTGACCCTCAACCTCCTCATGCTCTCCTACTCAGCCACGGCGGTGACGACATGTGGTGAGCTTCCGGCCAGTGTAGGCGTTTGCGCTGACCTGTTGAAATACCTTGTGAACTTAAGGGTTGGAACCCAGCCAATCACTCAGCCCTGCTGCAGCCTTATCGATGGCTTGGTTGGTCTCAACGCCGATGTTAAGGTTTGTCTCTGTGATGCCCTCAAGATTACAGATGTTCTTGGGCTCGGACCACTTGTCAACGTCAACTTCGCTCTCACCCTGCTTCTCAACGAATGTCACTACCCAGTTACTCCCGGCTACGTTTGCTATTAATTAAGCGATCGATGAACCAGCAGAAAGATGGTGAAGTCAAATGTCCTTATAGCGATAGCTACCTCATCAGCTAGCTAGTTGTGCTTGGGTCATTTAGTTAAGTTAAAAGTTGTTGTTGTTCTACTTTTTCATTTCAGTTATCCGTTTGCTTTCTTGGCTGGCGCCGCAAAAAGTTGTGAAATGTTAGTTTCATGACACTTGGATGCCTAAGTACTCAAGATAAATAATGATTGTACTATGAATAAATTGACTTCATTATCATTGTGCTTGATTATGTATCAATAAAAAATATGTAGCTTATAATTTTGTTACTAGCTAGAGAGAGAAAACGATTATAATTCTATTCCAACGTAACAAAAGCAAATTTACTGTTTACAATATTTATATAAGTTCTATAAAACTAAATTATAATACGGTACATGAATTAATTAAACAAATATTACAATTTGTATCCTACAACTACTCTATATATTAACACTCTCCCACGAGCTGGAGCATGTGTATCCAAAGGGCCCAGCCTGGAAACAAGTCCTGCAAACACAGCAGTAGGCAACGATTTTGTGAACAAATCAACAACCTGATTATAAGTAGAAACATGTAGTAATTTAATCAAACCAGAAGCAATCTTATCCCGTGTGAAATGACAATCCAACTCAATGTGCTTAGTACGCTAATGAGAAACTAGATTCTCGGCTATTCTAATTGCATATTAACTATCGAAAACATGCCAGTAGGCTTAGTAAACTAAAGTCCTAAATGTGCAAAAATATAGTTAAGCCACTGAATTTCGCATGTAAGATCAGCCATGGCTCGATACTCAGCCTCGGTTGATGAGCGAGAAATGGTCTGCTTTTTTTTGGAACACCATGATATCAAAGAAGCCCCCAAGAATATGCAAAACCCAGTTGTAGATCTCCCAGATCGAGCAACCTGCCCAGTCAATGTCACAAAATGCTCTAAGAGACACATTAGTGTGTGAAGGAAAAAATAAACCAAGTCCAGGAGACCCTTTCAGTTAATGTAAAACACGATGAGCAGGCGCCGTATGAATATCAGTTGGGGCACTCCTAAATTGTGTCAACTGATAGATGGCAAAAGCAATATCAGGACGAGTGTTGCACAAGTACAATAAACACCCAACTAATCTTCTATATACAGAGGAATCAAATAGAAGAGTACCTTATTTAATCGAAAGCCTTATTCCTGGATTGCAAGGAGTTGCCACATGTTTGACTCCAAGCAAACCAGACTCATTTAACAAATCTAGGACATACTTACGTTGGCAAATAGAAATTCCAATTTTATTTCTAGCTATTTCGAGACCTAAAAAGTATTTAAGATTGTCTAGATCTTTGATCTTAAAACAAACGGGCTTAACATTTGGTGACTTCGGTACAGCTGTGAATGTGTGTTGGTTCGAAGAAGAGAATCTATTTCCAAATCAATAGTTGCATTCCACTTATCATCTTGAGAAGCTTCCTTGTATGTTTTAGGTTCTACAACAGCAGACACATCTAAAGCAAACTTGGAGTGATGGTTAGCAAGTCTGTTGGTAGATAAAACAGATGATAATGGATAAGAAATAGCCAAATCAAACACATAATTACAAACATAATCTAGAGGTGGTTGCCTCTTTCGAGGAGGTAGAAACTCTGGTTCATCATCCAATAATGGAGGATGTTCGAGAGGAGGAACTCCATCATCATTATGATTTGAAACAGAGGAAGAAGAAGTAGATAAAGAATGTAGGTCGGTTGCTGAAACGGTAGAGGAATCTGGATTGGCACTATCATCATGAGATGTAATACCATCCATTGATGAAACATAAATTATTGTAAAAACAAAATCAGAAGACTCAAGAGAAAAATCTTTGGAAAAGAAGGGAAAATATTTTCATAAAATACTACATCACGAGACTCACACAAAGCCTCAGTAACTAGATTGTACAGTTTACGACCTTTAGTGGAAAATGGAAATCCAAGAAATATCCAAGGTTGAACTCTAGGTTCAAACGTTGGTCTATTGTATGCCAAAGTAGACATGTAAACCAAACAACCAAATACACGTAAACTTGAATAATCAGGAACTAACTGATGTAATAACTCATATCATATGACAACTTATTGTCTAAAACAGGACTTGGTAAACGATTTATTAAGAATGTAGCATGTAAAACAACATGACTCCAGAATTTTGAAGGAAGAAAATGCTGAAATAACAGGGCACGAGCAACAGCAATAATGTGTTGCTGCTTGCGCTCCACCTAACCATTTTGCTGGAAAGATGCAACACATGAGGTTTGTGTACTATTCCTAAAAACTGTAAAAGGAAGGCATGTGAAATTCAAGTCCATTGTTAGATCGAACAACCTTAGGTTTGAGATTATATTGAGTTTGCACATAGTTATTAAAAAAACCAACAAATTACGTGCTTCAGACTTATTATGTATCAAATAAAGTCAAGTATTTAGTGAGAAATCATCAACGATAGTTAGAAACTATAGATAACTATTTAAAGAAGTAACACGGTATGGACCCCATATGTCAATGTAAACCAAATCAAACAATACAGTAGCATGAGAATCACTTACCATGAATGGCAAGCACTTCTACTTGGCCATGGGACAAACAAAACAATGCTTATGTTTGACAGAAGTAACACTACTATTCTTAGACATAATACTTTGCAACGGATAACACGAAACATGTCCAAGCTTGTAATAGCAAATATCAATGTCATGGATAGTAGAATAAAAAACAACAGAAAACAATCTGGATTCTAGTGTAGGGGTAATGATTGGGTCGGGAAGATAAGTTGGTCTGTTCGATTAGTTGTGAAGTAGTAAAGCCCACCAGACTCTCTAGTTTTACCAAGCATCTTGCGGGAGACCAGATCCTGAATAACACAATGATTATAAAAAATCGTCAAGAAACAAGTTGTATCCTTGGTAATTAATTTGCTTACAGAAATTAAATTGAAACCAAACAAAGGAATCAAAGAACATTCCGAAGCTCTAATGAATCAAACAAGACAACAGTACCAATATGTGTGACTTGTACCTTTACACCATTAGGAAGTGAAACGTTTATACCACTAACAGCACAATAGGCACTAAAATATTCTAGCCAAGATATGACATGATCAGAAGCCCCTCTGTCTATGACCAAGAAACCAATCTACTTGAACACTACTGTTAGCAAGAACATACTTACTTCCAGAAGAGGAAGGTGCTGAAACCTCAGAAGGCACTAAAATTTTCGTCATAATAACTTTATTATGACTAAATTTTTTGTCATGACGTTCGTAAAAACTACCTCGTACAAATAACTTTATTATGACAAAATTTTAACGTCTTGTCATAATAGGTTTCAATGGTATGACGGTCAAACATTGTCACTATAAGACCCTTGTTTTGAGAAAATGTTGTCTAAAAAATAAGATATTCTGTCATAATAGAATCAATTTTTTCATGATAGTTACAAATTTTGATATGTTGTTGTGACAAATTGTAAAGTTTGTGACAAATAATTTTGTTATAACATTTTTTTCATAATATATTACAAGGGGTCCTCGTGTTGAATTTATTTTTGTTGAAATTATTTTTGTCATGGCAGACTGTTATTGTCATACTTATATTTGGAATAGTCTGTATATTTTATGGCAAAACCTTGTCACAATATGACAGGCTAGTTTTGTCACTCGTATGACATTATTATAAACAACACGATATCACGAATATTGAAGGCAACACATGATATCTAATAATCTCGGTCATAATTCTTAAATGAAAATTCTGAAGAGTAACATGACATTCAAGTCTTCACATTGCCTCCATCTATTCTCACTTTAAATGACAACCATACAACAAGTTCATCTTAAAAGGGACGTTCTACAAACAACCAAAAGTTTTGACAGACCATGACACATGCCACCATCGTCCTTCCTCTGGCAAAAAATCGTGGAGTCATCCAGGCCAATCAGCACTTCCATATATTTCTTAAACAAAAACAATATATGACAAGAATCATCTAGTAAGAAAAGGAATTTGTTTGTAAACCAGCAAAACAAAATATTAACAAACAAAAAACAATTGATTATGACAAAGGAGAATGTATATGTAGGCTACATTACTAAATCTCTATTCTTCTCTGATCATCCGCTACTCATCATCATCCTCCTGCCAACCACCACAAATTAATGAATTTCAATGAGATAATCAAGAACTATATAAATGACCAACGCAAAGGGACTTGAATAAACTTATTAAAATCAGCGATACGTCAATAACCCATAATCGACACAATGCATCCTGTTGGAGATGATTTCTGTGAATGAATATTTGAGAAAAACTAACTTGATTTGATTTGATTGAGTACAGGATTAATATACACATACAATGAGTGTTTGTACCAACAGAAAAGTAGTGGAGGAATTAGTTATCTCCACAAAGAGAGGAACAAAAGATAAGTGGAGTAACGGGAAAAAGAAAAAAAGGAAAATCCTTTTAATTTAGTTATCTCTAATACGCCCCCGCAAGACGGTGGACGTATCAACGACGCCGATCTTGGACCGAAGAAGAAGAAACCGAGTGGATGGTAGCGGTTTGGTGAGACAAACGGCAAGCTAGTGAGCCGTGGGTGTATAGGAAACGCGCAGACCACCATCTTGTACCAGTTGGCGGACAAAATGATAATCAAGAGCGAGATGCTTCATTCTGGAGTGGAAGACAGGATTGGAGCTGAATGAGGTAGCACCAAGATTATAAGAATAGAGCGTCAGAGAGGACTGGAGAGGTTGCTTGAGCTCGAGAAGAAGATTCTGGATCCACTCCAACTCAGCCGTCGCATGAGCGATGGCACGATACTCGACCTCAGTGCTAGAGCGGGCCACGGTGCGCTGTTTCTGCGAGCGCCAGGAGATGAGGGTGGAGCCAAAGTAGACCAGATACCCCGAGGTGGAGGAACGATCATCACGATCGCCAGCCCAGTCGGAATCAGCAAAGGCAGTCAAGGCCAAGGGACTGGCAGAGCGACGAATGGAGAGACCATAAGAGAGGGTACCGGAAACATAGCGAAGTAGGCGTTTGACACATTGCCAATGATGAGCCGTAGGTGCATGCATATATTGAGATAACTTGATGACAGAGTAGGCGATGTCCGGGCGAGTGTAGACCAGATACTGAAGAGCACCAATAACCTGCCGGAAGCGTGTAGAATCAGTAGGTGAACTACCGTCGTTAAGAGTGAGGGAGGTGGAGGCA